AATCATCGATCGCGAATCATTTCATTGGCGCAGACTATCCCACTGACCTCAGGAGTTCCCTCCAAGTAGTCTGAACTGAACCCCTATTCGCCGGCGTTAAAAGACGATCAGCTGTAGCACCCTTCCGGTGCCTAGCTGCCATATCACCCGAAGGAAGCACGAAGGATGGGATACTGCCAGGTTGCCCAAGCCTAGACAGGGAAAGTAGATAGGGAGAGGTTGAGTTCGATCCACGGACCTTCCGCTCAGTAAATTCGCGCTCTAAACACTTAGGCTATCTCGCCCAGCAACATAGAAGTTATGTTGGCAGGTGTGTTTGCGTTTGGACCTCGGTCATGCCAACGGTTCTCTAAAGCACATAAATGGTACGTTGTGTACCACTGAGCAAGTTTCAAGATAAACTGCAATTTCGACAGTATCCCCTGCGAGGAATTCCGTTCATCACCAAGATTGGTGACTACCTGAGCAACGTAAAAATTATGCGGTAGTTGTACCTTATGACAACAAGAAAGCTGATGTGCAGGCTTATTGAATCTGGCATCCATTTCATTTCCACCTGAGAAACAGGCACAAAACCAATGCCTCCACATGACTTCGCGCACAAAGCAGTGGCCATCGATCAGGATGTACTTCTTTTCGAATAGTGCAATTTAGACCCGGATAATTTCATGCCATTTTGGGCTCAATCTTATATGAATCTTGACCGGTTCGTCAATGAATATATTGGTTAGAACTGCACATCGCCACTCTCAGCTGGTCTTAAGGGTGCGGATTTGAATTTCGTAAAACTAGGCTTGAGATAATTTATCCAAAAATCGTTCAAATATTTTGAGTTTTGTGTTGAATTCTCCTCACACCAGAGCTTTGCAGATCAGATGCCATAAAAGTGGATGGTATCACCGGCTGCGGGATGTCTTGCGTCTCAACCGATGATTCATGCTCATAGAATGGCGCTAGCGGACTTTCTTAGAACGAACCTCCTGTATCTACTTCCTGTTCTTATTTGCTCAGGCCCACACTAGCCCTATTCTATCCAGTTTACTGTAAATGCCTCATTACCTGTTGCGTGCAGAAGTCCAATGGTGCAGTTTGATTTAATATGCCAATCCGGAGACGAACTCCAGCAATCCATAAAACAGAGAGAGTTAGAAAGTCATTTCATGCGATTGGTTACAAAATAAAGTGCCGAGAAATGGAATATGGAAAGGGAACGCCTCAGGGAGCATAGTGCGGCAGCTCTAAAACGAAATGAAAAGACGGAGAGTTGTGAAGAGAATTTGGGTGGATTTACAGAAAAATCGATGTTTATTCCATCTGTGGGTGATGATTAAATGACAGCGGTAATAAATGTAATATTCTTGCAAAGATGAACAACGGTATGATAACTAGGTTAGCTTCTCAATGTAAAATCGATCACAGTCTAATTCAAGGGCCCGTTTATCGTGCACTCATTGCAGAAACTATGCGGGATAAGTTTCATCTTGATGATTGTTCACCAGGTCGAGTAAAATAACTCCTGAATTGCAGTCTTTCATCAAGAGTCGTGACAAGTACAGTGCCTTTTACAGCAGTGAGAGGTTCTTAAGATTTCCTTTGTGGAGATCGTCAATACGCGCTAGGCGTGTTTGAATGACGAATGCTGGAATGTTTAGCGAGTGGGAAGGCATATCACCGACTGAAAATATGGCATCCACTTGACTTCGATAGTAATAAACTGCATGTCTGACATTGCGTAACGCATCCATGTTCGGAACTCAAGTCTCAGACCAAAGTTCTCATTGGTCGAACCATGTAAGAAAAGGCCAAATTTCACATTTCAATGTGCCTGCTTCGATCAGTGATGTATAAAAGTCTGTTTAAAAAACCATACTCCTTCGGACGTTTGATTCAATACTTCTATCAAAGGGACTCAAAATCTTTGGTTCAACAAGATCACTTGTAGCAATTAGCCATAAAGGAGCTCCTAAGTAACCTGCTGCGAAAATTCACGCCCCAAAGTTTCATTGCAGCACAATCCCTTATTGCTCTTTTGTGTACTTTGAGTCAAAACTCCTTGATGTGTCAGGTATTGAAATGGGCAAACCCAGAGATAGCATACACAGTAATTGTTCGCATGGACCACGACGCTAACGTGATCCCGTCTCGAATACCGTTTCGGTCTCCTGTTTCATATAAATGGGAGTGTATACCGTTTTACTCTCTGTCGGTGACCGAATACATACAAGCTGCTAGAGAAGGCTGGGCGGGCAACTCAGTTTGGGCAAGGAAGGCGTCAGATCTGTACGCAGCTTACGCATCCAGATAAACCTTCCTTTTGTGACCGAACGTTCCCCCCACCCAAATGAAAGCACTTGTCTTGATCAACTAAGGGCTGAGCAATCCCCGACTCCGCAATGGCAATTTTCGTCAGCTAAGCCAATTGTGGCATCTGAATCGTAGCAGCAACTAAGGGATATCCAACCATTCGGACAGGCCGCAAATCAATATGTTACATTACGGCCAAGCAATGAAATCGATCCCCACGCACCCCAGTTTCAGGCGCAAGCAAACGCATGGCATGACCTTCCAATTAGCCGCCACGTTGTGAGCTGCACGAGACCCCATGTGCTATCACTATCTTGAATTTTTCTTATCTATGCACCATTGATGGAATCGGTTGCTGGGTCTCATCCAATAAGTCTAGTCATTTTCGAAGATAATCGATAAAAGATGACCGTCTACTTGTAACACCATTTCGATGCCTGACTGCCATGACACCAGAAGGAAGCACGAGAGCTGGGATACTGCCAGGCTGCTCAAACGTACACAGGGGAAGTCGAGAGTCAGAGCTTCGGTTGGAAGCATGCCAAATTTAAGCTATCCCCTTCTGCATTACGCAGGTGGTCTGCTCAATAAACGTATGAACCTGCAAAACATTTTAGTTTATCTGCAAGAATTCCGGCGTAACTGTAATCAGTAGAAAAATCCAGTATAACCCTCACTGATCTCGAGATTTCACGCATGAACAACCAGACTGACAGGACGCAACATCTGACCACCGTAGCACCGGCACTCCCTGGACAATCAAGCAAAACCAAATTACCGCCGGAAGAGTTTCGAGATGCAAATTAGTATTCAACTGATCCAGACGGCTATGCACCACAGATGCTCTCCATCCCAATAGTAATATCTCTGGGGTACAATCACGACATGGTTCTGCATATCTTATTAAGACAGTCTTTGAAAGTGCAGATTACTGCGGTATGGTAAACTGACAACTCATGTAGAAGGATGAGGTTAAAGTTACGCAACCAACGATGGGCACCGTCGTTAGGTTCAACCTCATTGCCGCGGGAATAGGATAGTGTAGTGAGCCGACTTCAAGAAACACAAAAGAAGACGCACGAGGAAACGATTTTGTTTCGTTTGCAATTTTTATACAGGGAAACTGCTTGATCAAGTGACATTCAATGGACACACCGCATACACGGCTGGTTTGGTCATCTCCACTGTTTGAAATAGTCTAGGATTCTGTGAATAGAATTTAATGAACCTGCCACCCACCAGGGCGAGTTTTTGTGTCAACATATAGACGTATATAATCCAATAGTACACAAATGACGAATTGGGGTCCAGTGACTTGACAGAGGTAGGAAGAAGTGTGATTGCCAAAGCCAGAACCAACCAAGTCGATCTAACGAAGGTCCAGGTTAAATTCAAAAAGTCTCCAAGCAGCACATTACCGACTGCTTTTCAAAGGTTTCCAAAAAGAAGCTTCTAGAATGGTCCCATTTTAAACTGCCTTAAAGTTTGACCATCAAACACCGGTGGTTCTGCCGCGACTTCGCCGTTGAAAATTTGTAACCGAGATTGCTTTCAAGGGTTCCGTATGGTGCACCACGTTCAATTTCCAATAGGAGTATTTTATCAAATTGAATAAATTTTTCATTTAACACTTCACTCCAAAATAAACGACACCGTGTACTAATTACGGGTCAGGTAAGTATTGAAAAGTAATCGTTCAGCTTTAAAATCCTTTCTCTCCGTACCTATCATGCCACCCGAAGGAAGTACGATCGCCGAGATACTTTGAGATTGCTTAAGCCTAGATAAGAGCAGTCGAGATGCTGAGGTTGGGTCCGAGCACTGGACCAGGTTGAGGTAAGCTCGCACCTGAAACTCTGAGCATTCTCGAGCTACTTCACAATTTTGGTTTACAGTACTCTGTTCATTTTTCTGTCCTCCATCACGAGTGTCTGACTTCATGAACTTAGATTCAAGCATGTAAGCAAATGCTTTGCGCAGGAGATGTCAACTGATATGGGGCTTTAACAAATCCCCACCATTTTGTTCTGGCTGTCTCTGGATAGTGTTATTCACACCCATTCGTTTCTAACCAAAATAAATGTATGGCTTGTCCTAAATGTTATGGAGAAAAAGTGAGAAGCTTCGTCGCAAAAAGCAAAACACGTTAACAAAATTTAGTTGTTTTCAATAGCAAACGTTTTCATTTGAGGAAGCGGTAAAAAGAAACGCCCAATTAGTTTACTGTAATCGAACAATCGAAACCACTTACAAAATGTCTTTCTGTAGGTGTACAGTGCTACATGAGGAAGGGGGAAAATGTGTAAGTGTGGAATACTTGGAAACTTGGAGTACCAAGTTCAGTAATGAAGTACAATTTTCGTTGCGTTTGCTTCCATCTACACTTGAAGCACCCTAGACATTCATCGAACATATTGGAATTTCTCTCTAGCCTGAATTCAATTCAAGCAATATTTTTCGGATATCAAGTTCAAGCTCATTGTTTGATTCATCCTGACTGACTGCTTATAGTCACTAATGCATAAGCTCATTCGGCCAGTAGACCAGATACGTGGTGCTCCATGCCCAATTCAAGGCCTCCACTCACATAGATCGGCGCTAAAATACATCTTCCACATATTTTGTCCTATGTGAGAGTGGCGGACGGTGACCTTCGATCTTGAACCCATTGTCTTTCTGAAATAAGATCCTCACTCAAATTCATGCTAGCCTCATCACTTCATAATCCAAGCTAAAACATCTCGTTCATCCAGTTTCTGGCAAACCGCGCCTTTTAATCTTGTAAATCGGGCACAATAATAACGGACAATATAAGCAGACTCAACGCACCCTATTTTACTCGTCTATAAGCTAGTTCTGTGAAATGATGTTCGAAATTCCTTTCAGGTGAATCTGAGTTTAAACATAGCAGAAATTTTCTATGCGAAAAACGTACGTCCAGCGTCCTCATCAGCAAGTGTTTTGCAGTTTTCTAAAAGTGTCCAAATTGCAAAGATTCAAACTGATTCTAGTTAGCCTAGTTTATGGACTTGCGTATGAACCGTACAGAGTAACTCCATCAAACCTCTGAAGACAGATTT